GCCGTCCCTCGATCTATTCACTCACTTGGTCATTCAGTGAACCATTCACTGCATAAGAGATATCCCCCCGTCTGCCATCGTTGTATGGCTGGAGGTGAAAAAGTAAGTGGGGTGAGGGAAGAGAAAAGCTGAATGCAAGGGTCCATTAGGGCATCGATTCAGCCTTGGATGTTGACCGAAGCCCAGTTGCATGCCTGCTCGTCTGATGCACTCACACGTTCGCATATGACTGTCGGATATGTCCAATATGACTCATCCCTGTCGGTCGAAGCTTCTCGGGCAGGTATCAGGGCTTATCGAATTTCCTGAGCCCCGGCTTGATTACACCTACCTACTCCTTTTCTCTCCTGCTATGCATCACATTGGGAACAAGAGAGGTCTGATACGGTATGTATATGTGGGTTATTTAATATCCTGCAGTCGAGGCTTCGTAAATCATGGCTGATGTATCATCTCATGAAGCCGCTGATTCATTTCCGCTGTACATTCAGGTGGAAGAAAGATAGAACCTCTATAGTTCCTGCGGTCCTGGGCTTCTTTGTGAGGGAGGAACCCATAAGGTCCAATGCGTCTCTTTGTCCTCTCTTCCAAGCAGAAGATCATCGCATGTCATCGGGATAGGATGGAGAAAGCCGTCTACCTCGTAGCGAGACTTGAAGTGCACAGTTGTGGAATGGGCTTTGGGAAAAGGAGAAAGGACCCTGGTCTTCACGCTCGTGTTCGAGGCCGAGCCAGGCCTTAGATTTTAGTTTTATGTTTTTTAGTTCATTTGAGGCCATTGAACGAGCCTAAGTAAGACCTCATTCAATATTCAGCGATAATGCGAAAGGGATTCTCAGGACGTAAATCTCAACAAGAACCAAAAAGATCAGAATGTGACTCGCTCTGTCGGCTGGTGAGGGGTGAGGGAGATGAGTTAAATCAAATCATCATACGATTTAAATCTGATTGAGATCGCATCCTGGATATGATTTGGATCATCTGCAGGGTCAGCCTATGATTTGATTTGAAGAAGTGAGTGATTTCATGTATGGCTTGGCCATTGTGATTTGAAATCCCAAATTACATGTTGAGTATGTCGGAAATGGGATATTATAAGGCATGATCATACCTTTAATAAGAATCATAGTGGGATGTAGCCCTTTCCCATGCAACATCCCAACCCTCACACTCGCAGTTCACGCTCACGCAGGAACATCAATAATTGTATACTTCCTTCCAAAATCTCTCGAGTCCACCATGTTTCATGCGTAACGGCCTCATTCTGTAGTCATGAAAGAAGTTATAAAAGAACGTGGTTGGGTATCCTCTTTCGACTGGTCGCGAACCCATCTGCACGGTGCCACGAAACCTTAGTCCCCTTCACTAACAAAAGGGTGTCGTTTTGAAGCAAAACAGGCTCTATTTATGCATAAATGATTAAATTCTACTTTTACTACCGAAATATCTAAGTATTGTAGCCCACCACTTATCTGAATGACGAATTCATGCCGAGATACACAATTCTCAACAGACTTCACTCAGCCCTCTTTTCGACGCAGCACCCGAACGACCCAAAATCGGCTGACGAATGAACCTCATGTATCTCTTGCTTCGCGGAAAGTGATGGCGCGAATACCATCAACATTATTATCATTTTTCACTGTCTCCCGGTATCATTGACGCCATTACAGTACCCGGATCTAATCCGTCGATCAGAACAAGAACGCATCAAATGCGGAAAGTATTGTAGTAAATGAAAGTAAATGCGGAAAGTTCAGGGGATGCAAAAAATTTTTGTTTCCGGTTTTCTTGATGCATTTGGTGGGTTTTGCATTGGCTCTAAACAACATTACAGGCGAAATACTATGTTGTGCTTTGCGCCAATCAATTCACCGTTCTCAAAAACCCACCATCACGTAGCTGAACTCGATTTAAGAAAATTAAACGGAGTTCCGTTGCCTTTTCGCACAAACATTACCCCTTTCGCTCCCAAACAGAATTTATCCCATTAGGAAGAGCCGATATATCGGCACCTTGGGATTCTAAGGGTTAATGCCGATGGGCCTAGTGATGGCCATTATTTGCGTACATTATCGATTTAAGCTATGGAAGGGGCTGCGGTTTCATGGCTCCCTGTAGAGCAGGAACTGCGGCATCGATTTCAACAAATGCAAACTATCCCGTTTGGGGTAGGCTTTCAGGGGGTATCAAGTGCTTGTCGAAGTCGCTACACATCCGAGACACGGACCATCTTAGAGCAAGAACGAAATGTTTTTTGATAAATCGGGTAGCGATTGACTCACCTCGAAACAAGGGTGTGCCTTTTAGGGATAGCTAACTGCTGGTTAACTTGAAGACTGATTTTGGACTGTCGTATTGAAAAATACTCGGAAATATTGAACGTTTAAGTCGCTTGTATGGACTACTCTGCAGAAGTCTCAGCCTTTCGATGACATGTACGATTGAGTGCGTTCGTGAAAATGTTCAAAATGAAAAATTGACATGCACCTCATAGCAAAAACTACCCACCAATTTGGGTGGCACCCTTATACTTGCTCTACCTTCACGGTGTCTGTAATCGGTTACAAGTGGAGAGCTAGTATTGACAGTATTGGAAAGTACTTTCAGTAATGCATGATACTGGAGGATTTGATTTGTCAGATTATTAGAAATTGATGAAAATACTGCACTGTGGGAGTAATAATGAAATTTGTAAAAGTGGCATCTCGTTGAGTGTGCGTTATGGTCTTCGCAGGCGATTTATAAGCCAGGCAGCATTTTTTAAATCTCCTTTGGGGACAATATTCCTCGCGATTCCTGCACTGGTATGGGCATTGTTGGTCCCATTCAAGAAGTAAATAATTGATTTGAGTCATATCAGCAAATCATTAACACTGACCACGTCACCCACCAATGTGTAACGCCTGTGTTGTTTTAGCATCACGCACGATATGATTGGCATGATTGAGAGGGAAAAATCAATTACAATAGCCTCCACTTGCGTATGCGTTGACATTAACGCAGTTACGAAAATGGTGGACGACATTGTCCATAGGAAGCTGGATCTTAGGGGTCATGTCCCCACCGGTGGGTGACGGAAGTAAGATTCATAGGATGATTTGTGTTTGCAGTATTACTAACAACTTTCCAAGGTCACAGGATATGTATAAACGTCAAAACCACATCAGCCTGGGCGTGAAGCAACTTACCTAAGTGCCTTGGCTGCTTAAGTACTAATTCCCTGCTTTAAGCTTTTGGTATGATTAGTAATTGGCCAGCACTGATGCAAACATGGAGGCTCATTCTGAAGGTAATAAAAATTGCGAAATGTGGAACCGGAGAAGGTTTCCTAGTATTCTTATATGATTGGCAATTACTCATGGTTTTGCCCTTTTTTTTTGAGTAATTTATTTTTTTTTTTTACAGCATGTGAGTTCCAGTGAACTTGGACTTGCTTTCTGGACATCTGCTATTGGCCTACAACTTCAGGTGTTGTAGGCAAAAAACGAAAAGAATGGCTGACGTCTGTAGTGCTGTCGGTAGACTTGCATGCTTCTGATGGTAAATGGTGGCACTCCCTTGCGGTTTACTCATGTAAGGAGCGGTTCGTGTTGCGTGACACAGATGGCGTGAGGATGCTTGGTTACGCACCTCGCATGGTTGTTGGCCGTACAAGGAAAAAAAAAGTGCTTGGGAAAGACTAGAAGAGAGGAGAGGTCATTGAAATGATTTTACGGTGGTTGCTTCTAACACGCTGCTTGCGGTGTTCCCGGAAATGTAATCTATCCTCGGGTTTCTCCTTCTTCCTACTCATAGAAGGAAATCCTCATAACGGATGCTCCTCAGCCACACTTCCGTTTTGTCGGCTTATTTTATGCATGTGTTCGTTCCTCTTTCCATCTTGTCTGTTTCCTATCGGCAGTCTCGGCCTAATGAAGGCTTAGAAAAGATTAAAGTAGACACCACGTTCAGGGCTTCATAAATGAGACAGGGTGTAATTAGTTCCCTCCTGTGGCGCTTAAGCCCAAAGAGGGAGGAGATGACAGTGTGGTGAGATCATCGCCGATGAGTAGGGAAATTATTTGAGTCTAAATCCTCAACTTGGCAACAGGAGCGGGAATGGTCATTCTCGTACTCTTCCCCCAGGCCTGACAATGGAGGTCTGTTGCAGGGGCGGTGCGTGAACGTCTGTCATGCCAATGCAATGCTCCGTTGCTGGTTAACTTGAAGACTGATTTTGGACTGTCGTATTGAAAAATACTCGGAAATATTGAACGTTTAAGTCGCTTGTATGGACTACTCTGCAGAAGTCTCAGCCTTTCGATGACATGTACGATTGATTTGTCCCCCCCCCCCCCCCCCTCCCCCCTCCTTTTTTTTCTTTCATGTCAGGGCGAGTGAATGGCTGAGAGCTGGAGGGTGCGATGACTCACCCGTGTGTTCACGCACCGTGAACGAAGACAGCCCAGAGACTGGCCCCACCATGCAAAGTTGGCGATGGGTTTAATTTTCGCGTTCGCGTGGATATTGACTGGAACGACCGATCGAATAGATTGAGGTCGAGATCCGCGTGCTTTCATTGGCAATGGGGTGACACATAGCAGAAGCTTGGGTGAATTTGATGGATACGAGGCCAGAGAGAGAGGAGAGTCGAGGCATGGGTTGAATGAGGGCAAAAAAGAATGAAAAAAAAGAAGGGAAGTGGAAGGGGAGGGCGAGTGCGTGCGTGTGTGTGTGTGTGTGCGTTGCACTCTCCACTCACTGCAGTCGAGCAGCAGTAGACGGAGAGCTGAGAGCTCGAGGGTGTGCAGCTGATGCGCCCTCCTCCTTTCTCACCCTGTCGCATGAAATGCATTTTCTCCCGTGTCTACGACCTGCCGAGTGATCTCCGCCTTGATATCTTTCATTTCCGTCCATATCCACTCTCCGAGCAAAACCTGTGATGATGGAAAGCAGCCGCCTGAGTGCCTGTTTCCTGTATCTGTGATCCCTGTGATATCTTATCCAGAACGTTGAAGATGATGCGAATGGGTGCAGTGGCAACACCTCCACCTCCACCCCCTTATTCCTCCTACACCCCCTATTACTCGTACCACGATTATTGGGTGCGTCGAACTTTCTGTTCCCCCTTTTTATTTCGCTTTTCCCCCTTCCCTGTTCGATAAGAGCCGCATATCCCGGACTAGCCTCGTCCGGTGTATGTGTGTGTGCAAGCGGAAGCGATGATATGCACGATAGAAACTGAATGCAGACCGAGAGTGAGGTGGGGCAGGTGTCTCTTGTGGGAACGAGAGGGGGAAAGAGGAAGTAAGGATGGGCGTGATACCGTAGGGCTGGGTCTAACTGTACCCTCCATTATGATGACCAGCGTCGCCACGTCCGCCTTCGATCACGTCCTCTTACTTGGGTTTCCTATGTTCTATTGCATGCATTATTTCATGGTTACTTCTAGGTCGTGCGCCATAGGGCAGAGTTTTTTTCGTGTAGCTGAGAATACGGGTCGTTCGAATTCGGGGAGAAGGACTTGCATCGTGCATTAGATTCTATGATATCTGGTGCGTGACTCGAGGAGAATGGCTTTTTTTTCCGATTCCTGTTGAATCGCCTCAGGTGCCAAGTCTTGTTGTTCTATCCCCATGGGCCGAAACTGGACGTGACCGCGACTGAATGGGCCATTATGACGAAGTGACATTTCCGCCTTACTCATCGGGGAGAAAGGCCTGGCAGAGACTGAAAATGGGGGAAAGAGGAGGAAATGAAAGAGAGCGCATGTAATTCAATGATATAAAGACTCTCTGGGACTCCATCTACCTCTGCATATCTCTCTCTTACATGCCTTTTTTCTTCCCTTTTCCCCGTATTTCTCGCCCACGCCTTCGTCAACATTGTCTCGCTTCACCCGAGGGCACAATAGATGAAAGTTGCCTTGTGCTGTCGAAGAGGTCGATGGGGAATTTCTGGGTAAGGAGGACTCGAATCTCGTCGATTCTACGTGTTTTTGGAGGAAGAAAGAGGGAATCGATGGGTTGGACCCAGAGCGCCTGCTTTCTCTACAGCTGGCTTCTTCAATCAGAAATGTTCATGAAGAGGCAATTTTCCTCTCCTGCACCCTGAGGAATGAAAGCCATTTTCCCGGTACGACTCCTTGTATGAAGGAGCAGGGCTTCGACTTAGGCCCCCTCCCAATGATGTCATACAGCACTCAAGGAGTGGGTTATTTATAAACCCGCACTCGTAACCGGTACTCGGAATTGAGGAAGGGACAAGGCAAAAGGAGCAAAAGAAAGAGGAGAAAGGCCTCGGGGCAACCCGTTCCCATCCGTGATCGAATCGTGAAAGCCCGGCGTTTCGGTTGCGTGCGAGTGAAGGGAACTAGGCTTGGATTCCCACACTTCTCATCTCTTCTTATCCGTGACAGGTTTTTTTTTACCTCCTTTTATTCATCCCGAATTCTCCTTTCTATGTTGTAACAGGTGGAGGATGGATTGGGTGGGGTCCCGGGATCCACGGCAGCGGCAGGCGGGGGAGCTGCAGACCCCATCGGAAGGAGTGGAAGAGGGGGGGGGGAGACTACACATCTGACCACCACCCAGTCCACGCCTGCTGCCTCGTCCACGTCGCGAACGAGTCGTCGGAGCGAAGAGCCCGTGATCGGAAAATACAGACTCCTAAAGACCATCGGGAAGGGGAACTTTGCCAAGGTCAAGCTTGCCAAGCACATTCCCACGGGCAAAGAGGTGAGGGATTGCGGCTCATCTCCTTTCTGCGTCTGGGTGGTCTATTTGAATTGGATCCTTTGGTCTAGGTCGGTAAATACCGCGATCCAGATGGTTCATTTCCCTGGTTCTAGACGATCAAGTGAAGCTCACGTATATGAGGAAGAACGTTTTCGTGCCCTGGCTTTTATGTGATCGATCGGTCTACACGTATTAAAGAGATTTGCGTGTATTCGCTAGCATTGTTTTCGCGATCGATTCTGTGTCCATGGTCATTTAATGTCCAGTATTGAGCCAGGCAATCGAGGTCAGGGGGTCATGTAAGACAAGCACTGATGGGAGGGTGGGTTCCTGGTTGTGCTTCCATGGCCTGGATAAGGTAAGAGAAAGGGGTTTTCCTTTTTAATCGATGGTATAGGCCCGGGGAGGAAGCTCAATTTCAGATTTTATGGGAAGCTCCAACTGGGCTTTGTTTCAGTTCCTTTCTACCCCATCACTTTCGGATGATATTCAAAACCAGTCTGGCGGAACCTCACCATTAATCCTTTTGTGTTTCAGGTGGCCATAAAAATCATAGACAAGACTCAACTCAATGCCAATAGCCTGCAGAAGGTGAGCGAAATGAAAAGGATATCGTCGCTATATTAGGAACGAGATGACTGGGAAGATCCTTAATCACGTTTTGTTTTTCCCCGCAGTTATTTCGAGAAGTGAGGATCATGAAGATACTTGACCATCCCAACATAGGTGAGTTTACAGTCACATTGATGTTTAAAAGTGGTTGGAGTCATGCTGCAGTGACCTCGGTAGGGACAGGGTTGGAATCGTGGAGTGGGCGTTGGAGCTCTGATGAGTTTTTGCCTATACTTGGGGGGGAGTCCGGAGACTCCCGTGTGGCTCAAGGGCAACAGAATGGGGTAGTTTCGAAACAACCCATGTTTCCTGTCTGGCTTCATTGTCTGTGTCGATCCACCGAGGGAACAATAGGATCGCGTGGTGTCGTATACCGCCCTCATAGACAGGTCCGGGGCTATGTCCCGTAAAGTCAAAGCCATCGATGTTGCAGAGTCTCGCTCCCTCTCCCTCCCCTCGCCGCCCTGCCGAGGGAAAAGGGCAAAGGGGGGGGGGAAGAGGAAATGTCTTTGTCTCTTCATGTACGCATGCGTCTTCGAACATTCACTCCACATTCCAAAACCTTCCTGTAGATGAAATCTTCAATAGCAGAGGGGAGAATTCCCATGAGGAGAGAGAGGGAGGAATTCCCACCCCTCTCTTCTGAGGCCTCTTCTCCGAAATCATCATTCTTTTTCTTTTTCATCTCCCCCTATACTGCCATGTAGCTGGTCTTCCATCTTTCAATCTCTTGTACAAGGCGTGACTAGGGATTGGTTCCTTCCTTAGCCCGAAGGGAGTAGGAGGCTATAATAACAAAATTATTGTGGGATAATAGCCCTGAAGCTCACGCCCTTAGGGAATGGGGACAGGAGAGGAAGAAAGAGTCACATTGCTTTCATGCAACTCTTGAGATTTTTCCCTTCTGGGTTCAGAACTCCAGAGCATGAGTCATGACCTTTGTCTCCGTTGCCCTACCCTGAGACTTCTGTGGTGAATTTTTTTCCTCCCGGAATCTTCTCACATTGCAAAACAAGCAAAAGTACCCAAGAGCTGTTTATGGGAATGGCAAGGACTAATGGTTTGCGATTGACGAACTCCCCGAAGGCCTTCGTGAATGAAATTGATGTGGTAAGTAAGCCGCAGCACCAAATCCCATGGTGACGCTGAGGAAGGGGATCGGAAGAGGCAGGTGAATAGTGCATGCCTGAGTATGTGACTCTCAAGAGACCCCTGCATAGTTGATACGAGAGGACTAGAGCTCATCTACTAATGCTCCACCCCCCTCCCCCCAACGTCGGCTCCGTGGTTCACCTCCATATCACTTTGATCATTCCATTACTCTTGGATTAATGATTTAAAACTGTATCTCATCCTCTTTTTTTCTCGTGTTGCTTCCTTTTTGATCCCACGATTCAAGTATCCTTCACGCACGCATCCTCCAAAGATGTATCAAAGATTCCTGAAGCGCACGGGGATCCCTAATTTGGGCATGCTTAGAGTGTTTCCATGTTAGCTTGTATGGTACTCTAGATCATTGGGTTTGAGTGCCAAACTTTCATCACAGGTGAATTGTGTAGGCATTCAACAGATTACAGGTCAATTATTTTTCAGTTTTACAATATTAAAAGGTACCTAAAGGCCTACAGTAAGTCTGGTTCAATTTCTCTTCAGGGGCTGTTTTCCTGCTTTTGTCAGCTTTGATCCCCTTGGGAAGTCTGAGATGGGGAAGGGAATCCATTGTCATCCAATGTAAACAAATGAAAGTACATTCTATTGTCAATCAATTTTTTTTTGGCATTTCACTCATCATTCCTCAATGAATATTCATTACTTCTTCCTGTAGGCTAGAATCCCCCTGCCCTTTCCTCTTTATTTCCTCTGGACTACATATCAAATAGGTGGGGGGACATCAGGAGGAGTACCACCCCACATTATCTCCATCCAGGTTTCTGGCACATTATTTTCCCAACGAAGAGGAATTTTCATATAATTGAATTAGCAAAGAAGGATTACCATGGAAATTGATGCAAGTTCAGCTGCCTTGGGATCAATAAGCTCCTGTGATTTATGTACCATTATCCCAAACTTGTTTGGAGCACTTCATGCATTTGGATGTGGTGCATGAAAGATGTAACAGGGTATGAAGATTGTGTGAGATTTAGAGGAGGAGACACCTAATGTGCTCTTTTCCTGTTTTCTTGCAAAATCCAGTGAAGCTGTTTCAAGTGATTGAGACAGAGAAAACACTCTACTTGGTGATGGAGTATGCCAGTGGAGGTGAAGTGTTTGACTACCTCGTCTTCCATGGTCGCATGAAGGAGAAAGAGGCCCGGGCAAAATTTCGACAGGTGATTTTCTAGCATTGCATTAGTACAAAGGGATAGAAGACCTTGCAAGATGTGTCACATATGGTATTGTATTTTCTTTCTCCCTTTCAGATTGTTTCAGCTGTCCAGTATTGCCATCAAAAGAAAATAATCCATCGTGACCTGAAGGTGAGTTTTCTTGGAAATCTGCTAGTGCTCTTAAACTTGCATCATTGGTAATGCTTTGCTTGTTCTGATGTGCAGGCTGAGAACCTCCTGCTGGACAGTGAGATGAACATCAAAATAGCAGACTTTGGCTTTAGCAATGAGTTCACACCAGGGAACAAGTTGGACACTTTCTGTGGAAGCCCACCCTATGCTGCTCCAGAACTTTTCCAAGGTAGCCAAAAATTATTATTAGAAACATTAAGATATTCAAATTTTACTAAGTTCATAAGAACTTTGGATGGAGATTATGAGGTCCATGTCCATAACAGGAAAGAAATATGATGGCCCTGAAGTTGATGTATGGTCATTGGGAGTGATCCTGTATACGTTGGTGAGTGGCAGCCTTCCATTTGATGGCAGCAACTTAAAAGAACTTCGTGAAAGGGTCCTACGGGGAAAATATCGAATCCCATTCTACATGTCAACTGACTGCGAAAACCTCCTCAAGAAATTCCTTGTATTGAATCCGCTGAAGAGAGCCTCTCTTGAGGTAAACTTCTCATAAAATCTCATCTTTTAACTTTCTTGTAAGTGAAATTTCTTATCTGCATATTTTTACTAAGTCAATTTTCAAATATATTTCTCAATAGACAATAATGAAAGACAAATGGATGAATGTGGGCTATGAAGAAGATGAGCTGAAGCCGTTTGTGGAGCCAGAACCTGATCTCAGTGATCCAAAACGCACAGAGATCCTCCTTGGCATGGGATATTCCCGAGGAGAGATCGAGGACAGCCTCTCCAACATGAAATATGATGATATCTTTGCAACGTATCTCCTCCTTGGACGGCGCTCCTCGGATCTGGAGAGCAGTGATTCTCGATCGGGGAGTTCCCTCTCACTACGAGGTCTGAATCCTCCTCCACCCATCACAAGCACTTCTGCTGGGAATGCAGGAGCCCCTGTAATTGGAGGCACCAGTATCTCGTCTTCATCCTCACCCTCTCCAGCTTCGCATGGCAGGGTTACTCGTTCTGTCTCTGCTTCTCAGCCCAAATCTAGAGACAGGAGATCTGCAACATCTGAGATCAGTCAGTCATATATTCTTTCTTCCTATCTTCTGAAGAAAGTGATAAGTATATATTCTCACTTGTATTGGTATGAATTACTTACATAGGAGGATCTGGAGGAGGAACAGGGAACAGTGCTGTTGGAATACGTCAGAGGACCTTGGATGCAGCCACTGGGACAGGTAGTACCTCTGGAAGCACTCCTGCCCCATCCAATCGCAGCTCTTCTGCCCGTCCTTCCTTCAAAAACTCTGGTTAGAAAATGGTCTTCATCAGGGATTGATATTGCCAAATAACTAACCCTATCTGCTCATCAATCCTTGATGACTTGGTCCCTTAAGAAGTCCGTCTACTCTGGGCATCAGAGGCACTGGAATTATCTTTATTCCCTGAATGGAATGGAGAATCATAATGGATTGGAAGTAGTGCCAGATGAATGTTAATTACCAGTGGCATAACTCCTGCCTTCCCTACCTTAGTCTGGAATGGCATGGTGTACACCCTGGTCACAGGAGTCTTCTTTTTCATCATCTTTTTTTTTAACTTGTGGGAAAATCTGAATTTCTAGAGATTTTCCCCATTCTTGACCAACTTTCACATCAGAATTTTTCTACCTTGTATTTTTCAGGAAAGATAAAAGAAAAAAATTCATCATATAAATTGAATTTCGTGAATTTCGTGCAAAATGTTCCACTTTCCAACATGAGAATTTCATTTTCATCTTTGTATCCCTTGAGAATAAGGCATAATCATATTCACAGCTCCAGTTGTGTATGCATTCTGGCAGTAAGAGGAAGTGGCATATATCCTTGGCCTGTGTGAAACCTAAGTTACAATCACAAACTTGAGAAGACATCCCTACATTTTTCTACCCAAGACCCACCAGTTCAGGAAAAAGAGATGATTATGGTAAAATCATATCCATCTTGAGACCTATCCATACATCTCCCCATGATGCATTTCAGGTGTATTACAAATTGTGCTGAGGCTTTCAATTCCAAACGTAGGAAAACGGTATCCTCATTGTACAGCATACTTTCTTGCAGCTGGAGAGTCTCACAGTATGGGTTCAGTACTACTCTTTTATACTGATTGTATAATTTTATTGATGATGAATTTTAATTTTGTACATGGAAGAAAAGAGGAAATTATGCCTGGTATGGTGGATTAGAAATCTCATCATGGGAAATGTTGGTAATCTTGTCTAGGCCCTACTGTCCTGTTGTTGCATAAGAACTGCATCACTACATGTAACTAAATAAATATTTCATTGTTTCACCTGTGAGTATGCAGTATTTATGAAGGCTTATTGGCTAATTGCAGGTGTGAATAGCTCAAGTCCAAAGCCTCGACTCCCCAAGAGCACAACCATCACTGGGAATCGAACCATAGGGCCTAGTTTGATGGGAGGTCATGCCAGAAGAGCCACATTTGACTCGAAGAATGCTGGTGAAAAGGCTTCTGCTTCAGAGGCACCAGCAGATACCAGGTAGTTATTATTACTCTACACTTGCTTTCATATTAGGGACTTCTAAGATGGTTGCAGGTTTTCACATGTTTGACATGCAGTTATGGAAGCCACAGAATAGGTTCTCTGACAGTAACTTTTGGCACTCTTTCCTCTTTATGAATTACTTGATGCTCCACTCATTATTCTCTCTCAGTCATTTCATACACTGTCCTAATGCTGAGCATCTCCACTAACAATGCATGAAACAGCCTGGAAGGTGGGAATGCCCGGTCGAGTGGACACGGGAAGGGCCACGTGAAGTCGGCCTCTATATCAGCCGCAAGCGGTAATCGCACCGAGGCCCAGCCTCATGATCCCCTTGTTGATCCTCCTTCTGATCCAATTTCCAGGCCAAGGTAGTTGTTCCTCTGACTTTCTGTCTTGCACCTGTTTGTGGGGCCTGCTCTGCCTGCAAGGATTGCCTGGCTTGTTGAAGGTTGTCATTGGCACTTCATGCCTCCAGGCAACTGACTTTCTTTTTTTTTTTCAAATTTTCATTTGCTATTCTAGTTCATCATCAGTCATATATTATATATTGTCCAGCATCTTTGAAGTGGCATGTGATGAGGAAAAGCATGGTTTTCTCATGTTATTTTGGGAAAGGGCAGCCTTTCCTTGAGAAAATTGTTTCCTTGGTTATTCTTGCATAGTTGCAAGATTTCTCTGCATTCTGATACTAATATCCTTAGTTCCTCCTTCACTATTTAGACTGTTGATAGGTCTTTTTTTAAGGAAAGGATGGGAAGCAAGCCTTAATTGAGAGATCCTTCCCTTTCTTTGTCTCTTGCTTTGTTGGATCTTGGGATGGGTCCTCTTCTGCTTCACCATTCATTTCTTTAAAAAAGAAAAAAAAAAGACTTTAGATCTCATTTTTGTAGACTTTTTTTTTACAGAGTGGTGTTTCTTATTGCATTAGTTTTTAATTTCCCTGGAATGTAGGAAACAGGAGTGTGCAGGAGTGAGATGTTTTGATGCTTTTCAGTTCTGCCAGGCCAGCTACTGCCCTGAGTCCCAGTGGGATCCGCACAGCCTTTCCTCGAGGAGTCCAGAGTCGTTCAACATTTCATGGCGGTCAGACTACTCGTACAGCACCAAATGTACGTGGGATTCAAGGACGTGATAGAGATGGCGCCTTCATGGGAGGGGTTGGTGGATATGATGGATTTGGGACCCCTCTTCACAACACCCGAGGAACTTCCTTCCTCTCACGCATCTCCTCCAAATTTGCAAAAACGTTGGTCTCATTTCTTTTATATGCCAAAATTGAACATGTTGACCATATATATTGCTAACATTTGTATGTTCTTCTGTGTCCAAGCAGTGCAGTGCCGAACAATGAAGAGCATGTGAAGCCTCGTTCTCTGAGGTTTACCTGGAGCATGAAAACTACATCATCACTTGACCCCAATGAAATCATGGCTGAGATCAGAAAGGTAAGAGAAAGTAACACCTGAGGTTACTTGTCAAAACTAGAGAATTTCAGGCCAGTCCTAGTCGGAAGTACAGTAAAGCATCTGGTGAATTATAGGACTGTGTTACTTATCTTTTGCAACTATGGATGCATTTTTTATTAATGATGCTGAAAATAACTTGACATCAGGTGCTGGATACCAACAATTGTGATTATGAGCAAAGAGAGCGTTTCCTCCTCCTCTGCGTGCATGGTGATCCCAACTCTGATAACCTGGTTCAGTGGGAGATTGAGGTGTGCAAGTTGCCTCGATTATCCCTGAATGGTGTTCGCTTCAAGCGCATCTCTGGAACTTCAATAGGCTTCAAGAACATCGCTTCCAAAATTGCCAATGAATTGAAGCTGTGACGCCAGCCTGTCGGCACATCGGGTGCCGACCCCCAGCCCCACCTCGTGGACATTGACGAGGATGAGGAATCTGTGGAACTCCAGTGCTGATGTGTTCAAATGTGGGGAACAAAATTTCTTCAAGCACATGCACACATCACACATTCGCCACATGTCTTGCAGACAAACACATCTTGCATGGAGATTAGGACCTATCCTCTGTCTACCTGTCCTTTTTTTTTGCACCATGTGGACAGGCCAGTTGGTTGCCCTTGCCACATTTGCTTAGGACTGATACCTTGATTCTGTGGCTTGGACGTCACCGAAGACTCAGTTCAGTTCTACCCTTCTTTTCCCTCTCTCCCTCCTAGGTTTCTTATGTCAAATGCTCTTGGGAGTGTGGCAAATGATTGTGATACGATTCAGCTTTGGTTTCTGTCAATTTCATTCAAACTGGGTGAGTAGTAGGTGTCCAGTCTGTTCTCAGGTTGGGAAACCCCTGCTTATTATTATTATTATTATTAATTGTGTCCTATTCTTCCTTCCCCAAAGAGAAGAGGCAATTGAAAGTCTTGAATTCAATGACCTTTTTTTTTGCAAATTTGTTTTTACTTTGTGGTTGAGTCGGTGACACCAGAAAAGAATCTGGATTCCTCCTGACATTGCTCCCGGATAATGTGGATTCTTTCATTCTTTCTCTGCCCTGCAAACGGTATTCATGAATGATAGAATGTTTGTTCATTCCTTCTGTACATATGAGCAAAAAACGAAGCTATTAGATTTCCGGGACATTGCAAGGGCTATGAGGAGGAAGAGATGCAAACCTAATTAATGGCCAAGAATGTATGAACATGGATGCTATGAGAATAAAGAGTTTTACCTAGACAGGAGTCAGTCTCCAGTTTTTATTTTGTCCTGTGATCACTTGAATCTCCTATGTCCTTCCTGTTGAATGAAAGTTTCTGGCTTCCCAAACCCTTTACATTGCTTTTTTTTTGGATTGTGTTTTTCAGCATCTCTGGAACCCACATAAGGAAGGCTTATACTGCACTGTATCACAAGCACCAGGCAATGACGTTTTATTTCTATTGGAAGCACCATCTTACCCCATCAGGCGAGAAACAAGGTTTCATCTCCCGCAGAGGGATCCCCGTAATTTCATTGGCACATATTGGTGGTTCAGTAACCCTATTACCTCACTGCATACAACCGCTAGAAAACTCGCTATAGCTAGCTCATTGGCTTTTATAAGAAAAAGCAACCAACTGTGTATGTCCTGTTAGAATTAATAAAATACCCGAGACAAGGGTAGCGTGGAGGGGGAAAGGGATGAGGCAAGAGGAATTCGTGCAAGATGTGGAGTTAGTGGAGCCGTTCTCAAACCGCAAATACAGGTTAGAACTTACTAAACAGACCATGGAAGAGCGATTCTTGTCTGTCGAACCGAATAATAGGACGAGTACCTTAACAGATCGCGTTATTGCGCTCGATGGAAGTCACTCGCGTTTAGGTGTTTGACGGCTGTTGAGTTGTTGAAGCTTGACGGTTAAATTGACTTCTCGAAGACAACGTGCAAGCCCTGCAACGGCGCACTCGAAAACTCTGAATTCTAATCTGTCCATAATGGGCATCTCGAGGATGAAGGAAGTACAGGGTGGGTAAAAAAAACAAACAAATGTTTTAATGCTAATGATAGACAGTCTCAGAGTTATTTTCGGGACACAGCCAAGCCAGAAGAATTCATCCAGCCACTTCATTCACCGAAGATCATAGTGTGGTGTGCTATGAGAAGTAAGCGCATTTATGAGTCTTACTACACCACTAAAAAAAAGAAAAAAACAGGTGGAGAGGGAGTGGAGGGACGCTCTCTTCAGTCTTTTCGCGGCGCCCAATCGAAACTCCCGCAAGAGTTGCCATGTATTATATCCGAAATCGAGGGGAACTGAGAGACCTTCCAACCATACGGAAATCGTCGTGATCGATACGTGGAATTTCGAGCAATGAACGAGGCAAGAGAAGGCACTATCCACTCAGCTCGGGAGAGCGCTTAGTTTTTTCTTAGGTATTGTATTTCGAGAACCAGAAACGGAGGAGGCTGTCTGTTGATGCTGACAGACTTCTCGTCTACCTTCATTTGGTGTCGTGTGAGGTCCGGGAAAGGAGCATGGTTCCAACAAGATGTTGCCACGGTTCGAACAGCAGCAACAATGACTTGGCCTAAAGGAACACTTTCCCAACCGTCTCATCTCGAAAAAATCGGACTTACCGTGGCCAGTGATATCGATGATGATGATGGCCAGACTTGTCATCCTTTGACTTTTTTTGTGGAGCCCTCAGCACAATTCCTAATCTGAAGGACAAATTTCCCGAGTCGTTGCCAGCATTACACAGGTAACATTGCAGGCAGCAGTCTAAAATTTCAGTGTCAGAATCAGACTGTGCTAAAAGGAAAGGGCGCCATTTTGAACACGTGTTCTAACCCAGAAAAATCTTACTGAGGTTGCCTCTCATTAGCATTTTATTGAACGTTGACATCTTTAAGAGGACGAAAGTTATGCAGCATTGAAACTTGCAGCTTTTTTTTTAAAGCCTACTCCGTATTTGAGCCTCAGGACACGAGGGAAAAATGTATTAATAGGAATGGGATTATTGTGCAATTGAGTTGTATTTATCCCTCCCTAATAGGGGGGGAGGGGTACGAATTTAAGAACCTATGCACAATTTTGATTTTGCATATATTTGTATATATTTACTTCACTATACATAGGCGGCGATTCATAGGGGGCTCGATGTGATCGACCAGCCCCTCCCCCCCCCCCCAAAAAAAAAAAAAAATTGGAAAGGAAGGCTCAGCACCCTCATAAATTCATGACCTTTTTTTTTTAGTTTTCGCAGTTTTGCTGAATCCTAGTCAAGGAAAATAGCTCAATCGTGAATTCGTAATTCATTGTCCTAACCTTGATGAGTGAAGTCATGACAAATGTGTGGGCTTATTCTCCAATTTTCGGGGTACTGTCCAATGAGAGACCATGTAATGTTATTGGTACAAATTAAAGGGCAATGGATAAGTCTAGAGTAATAATATATATAATTAGCAATTACCCGAATGGGCAGTGAAACTGCACTCATTCAAGGCATGCCTATAGATAATAGGATGGGATCCTTCACTATCCGTTCTCTATTTTAACTTTCTTAAGCTTTGCCCCAACTCTGCAGGCTATTTTGCCATAGTATGGTTCTGGGATTCAATTGTTTTCTGCCCTCTTCTCCTGGGCTAGAGGCCGGTCATTTCCTGCCTGTTGCCGTGGGGTGGCTTTGGACTGGAAGGAAGAATTGAGAAAAGTCTCCTCGCGTCCTCCAACAAGAGAGAGCATTCATAAGTGACGATTTCAGTAACTGGAAGATGATTCAGGAGGCATCTCTGCCCATTATATTATCCCGGGTCAAAGTCGAGCATCCATTTAAAATTATGCAAGCATACATCGTAACAACCGTTCTCTGAGTCAAGTGTACCACGATTGGTGGCACTCCGGATTGAAGACAGATCCGGAAATTTCTCTATAAACCTGAAACTTTGAAAGAATAGGCATTGGGTCAATCCACGCCAATTCGACCAGGGCATGAGCTCGACCGTCTCCGATTTGGACGAAGATCAGTATACACGTAGAGGTATCTATTTAAAGAAACTGATTTCAACCAATTTTTTTACCTCTCGCACAGATCTCCAGATCTATGAATTTGAATGTGATCTATTTTCGGCTCCTGGTGCCCACACGGACTGGAATTGTGAAAATATTTCTGCAATAACATCTCTTCTAGTTAATATACAAGCTTAGTTCTGGTGTCATTTAAATTGTGAAATCGCCGTCTTTAATTTGATTCTAGACACTATTCTCCAAACCATGTTTGGTCAAGTTCCACTTGACCAAACAGTTTGATCTAGTTCAGTGGCCAATATCTACGCTTACCACCTCCTGAATTCGTGGTTCCAATACATCATTCAAAAGTGCATGGTATGCCATTTATAAAGACATCAAATACGAGATTGGCACTCAATAGCTTCATGAGATATAACGATTTGACAACAATAGTGCTGGCGGAGGGCCACCAGCCAATAGGTAGCGCGCCATGAACTGCATGTCCCCTTTGCCACCACGTTCCCGTCCCCGGCAGAAATCCGCCAGTATAGTGCCTGGGCTGCTTATGGCCCACTACTTTTGCGCTACTTGGGTTGATTTTCTCCACGTTGAAGACATGTTGACAGCAAGGACTAAAATTTCGAACACCAATAAGGGGAATATCTAGCTGTGTAGACGTACTACGGATTGTTCATAATCTAAGTGTTTCAGCATAGAATCGCTAGCCTGCTTCAAATTGCCTTTCTACAGTTGTTGCTGGTCCAGTCGAAGTCTTGGTCAAGTAATTGGTACAGTTGGTTAAAAATTACTGTTATAGACTAAGCCTAAATCTTCCTGAGAGGACAGTTTTTTTTTTGGTGGGGGGGGGGGGGGGGGGGGGGGTTTNAGTTTTTTTTTTGGTGGGGGGGGGGGGGGGGGGGGGGGGGGGAGACCAGCGACCACATGAGCATAAGGAGTACTTGCTAAGGATTATTGTCTCCAAGTCCCCTCCCCCATGTTTCTCAACAAATCGCCGCCTGTCACTGCATGAAAAATGTAATTTTTAGTTATTGTCATGTATAAAATGTAATGTATAAAATGTAATTTTAAAGAGTCAATCAGGCATTTTCACCCTGGAATGAAAAACAGGAAGAAATGTTGACAAAAATGACAAGGCCATAGTAAGAAATAATATGTATCCGCTACCCCCCTTCCCCTTCGAAATTGAACGGGAAAAACTGGGTGGCATGAAACTCAGCCCTGCAAACTTCATCATCCGCAGAAGTCGTTGCTTGTCAAAAATAAAAGAACTTTTTTTGCTTGTACAGGCATAGCGTTTCTATCTTCATATCTTTCAATTTGCATAGAAAAAATCTATAATGCTCATTTTGGTGAACGTTTCCAGGATTTCCATGCTTAAAAATCCCATCCCTAATGATGAAATAGGGCGTCGATATCCTGACGAACGTTGGAAGAGTCTGCTCTCATCATGGCAAGGTATTTGTTAAGGCTGTACCGATGGCCACCTTTGGCCGGTGGGCCGATGGCCGATTTTCATCCCATGACCATCGGCCGGTGCCGATTGTTGTCTGAAAATTGAGAAGTAACATGAAAATGCATAATAATTCATATGGGCCTATTTGGAAACCATAAGATACTTCTCAGGGACCCCTAAAAACGATAGAGGCCACATTTATTATTGTCTATCTGTGTCCGTCAATGGTTAGCTTGTTACCTATCGCTGCAATTAAGAGCATTTAACGACAATTCGCGAGCAAATGCATAACATAAAAGGAGGGATTATGATTTCCCGTTCTTTACCGCTATTTTCCTCCGCCAGTTCCTAGAATAGGGCTGAAATATTATCCGTTCGATATTTTTCGGGTTCTTATGTTCGCTCTAATTTTTCCCCCATAAGTTTTACCTGTAAGTTTAGCTTCTCCTTTAGACACCGGCATCGGCAGCTTGCAAACTGGCCGATGGTCGATGGCGCCTATAGCGCCGATACCGGTGGTAGCCGATACATCGGTACAGTTCTAGTACATGCACATGGTGCATAGCATACGTAGTAGATATCTCTGGAGAGCAGTGGATACGAAAGTGAAAAGTGAACCGTTGAGACTCACGCAGGCCAATGTTGGATTAATTCTGTCAATGACGTCGATTTTTATCCACCCGCAAGATTCTGACAATTATGCGTTCTCGTCTCCGTAGTTCTCAAATGCAATCATGTAAGTTGTGTCTCCCCGTCGTGTAGGCGTCCAATGGGGTGCGGATATCCCGAGTATCAGCAGTATCTCCAGTTGCAATACAGTATCTTCACAATGAACCATGTTAAGAGAAGAGGCCGTGTATTCAGCGCCCGTACTCATTTAGTGTAGTGGCCTAAGAAGCCGCTGAAAAGCGAGTCTATCTGATTCTGAGAGCTGACTTGGCCACTTGTAATTGAATAAAGCCCGTTTCACTATTACTAATAGGAATTAATTCTGTCTTGATGTTTTATTCTGTCTTAATTCAGGACAGGTCTCTGAGCTTCTTCTGTCCCAATCCTTTTCATGTCTCAATGTTGTCATTGTCCATATTGTACTCATGCTCTTGCCCCACCTGTAATCTTTATCCTATCAAAAGGTGATGACAATAAATAAATAAATAAATCTCCGATTGACCCAGCCAACTGATCCCTTGAAGAAAGGTTCTATGAAATCCGGGTGGACCAACCAGAAGCGCCTCACTAACGCCTCCTCGACGATCACCTCGGCCGATGAATTTAGCTGTGAACTTTACATCTGCATTTGACTGTGCCAGCATAAGGATCACCCTGGCATATCTTATTATCTAATATCTTCAAATCTTTTATTTGTATTTTGCTTTCAAAAGTAAGTTTTACAATAACGCTATTTCTGATAGGGCTGGCCATCACTTGGTATATAAGTCGAATACGCTCTCTCGTTCTTTTCCCGTCATCATACTTGTGTTAGTGAGACCTCACGGGAAGATTCCCGAAGGTAAAGAAACATTTTCTTGGACATTTATAGAATATTTTTTTTTTAATCTTCGTTAAGTTAGTGACGACTTTCAATAATCCTCTTCGAGTAGTTGAGTCTACAGTCTATCGTTTAGCCGAGGCGACACTCGACAAGTGGAGGCATAGGCTCAACGTTAGCTTGCGGTAAGGCAGGCTGCTTGGAAGCCTAGACTGTTTTCCAAACTGCAGTTAAGTTGCATTTCAGTTCCAATTTTAGTTCAGTTGTTCAGTTGGGATTTCGCCATGACAGTAGTCGGTAAGAGTACATTGAAGCTTGAGTCAGATCTAACGTTAAGTGTTTACCGAAACAAGAACCTAACTGCGACTGAACTGCCGTTTTGAAATCACTTATAAGCCATCATCAAAAACCGATGGGCAGCCTCGCAGTTACCACAGCACGTTTAATAGATCTAATGAGAGGCCATAGTTTTGATATGTAATGCTTAACGTTAGGGCTTACCCTTGCCAACACTCAATTGGTTACCTGTGTGCTAGAGGGGCAACGTCTTGGTCCAATGGCCTCGTGTTAAGCCAAATATTGACAGTAAGGCTACTAGATAGTAAGTAACTAGGGTTTCAAGTGTGTCAAGTGTGCCTAGGCCCAACATACAGAAAAATTGGTATTTTCAGGCAGTAACCATTTCCAATTTGTTTGACATGCAAAGGCTTTCTGCCTCACCAAGCTGAAAGGGTGGAAGTAATTATAGATCCTTACACCTATACATATTTGAACTGTCCTGTTCTTGGAATTTTCAAAATAAAATGTTGGGTTTAATCGGTCTGGTGGACACCTGCTTTGCACCTAATCAGTTAAATGGACACTGAGCTGGCTCATGGGCTAGTAGCATATACAAACATGGACGCCCTGGTATTTCCCCCTATTATGGATGGAAAGACAATGGTGAGTATTACAGTGCCCTTGGAAGGGGGTGGATCAGAGGAGGGCAAAGTCAAACAACGTTTGAGGACGGAAGGACAGACAGCAAGGCAAGACAGTTCCGTGGTCAAACTACACATTTTTTAGCTGATTTAGACAAGGATGGATAACCTCCATATTGATTTATGGCCATGGGAGTGTTTTCACATAGATGAAATGTTCTTTAAGGTTAATACTTGAGGAAAGGAAACATTACTGTCTGTCACTTGTTTAGGTAGGAGTAGTTACATTGAGACAACAGATGTTGCTCAATTGAATGATATGTTAAACCGTTCAGAAGGGATCACACTTGTCATGGAGGTTCAATATGACACAGCTCATGCATGCATAAATGACTGCTGGCTCAGTGAGAGCTGAGAAAATAAATAATTTGACTGTGACTACAGTAGCCACTGTGTCGACCTGTCCCAGTCAAGGTATCTTACATGCTGTCCACCTGTACAGGCAGGTGTCCACCAGACCAATTAAGCCAAAGCGTTTCATGAAGCCTGAACCAATGAATAACTCCACTGGCTTGTACTACTGGCCTTACAGGTAAACTTAAGAGGGTGTACACATAGTGGATATAGTATTCACAAGATGTACAATGCCATCTGAAGTCACTCCACCATCTCCTGCCTCAGCTAACATAGCCAGAAATGTCCTACACATCTGCTGTGAAAACTTGAGAAAATTATGATCAGGGTATTATAGGCTTATGTTTTTCTCTTCTTCAAATGGGTATATCCTGGAAACAAGCCCATAGTTCTTTTGAAGTGTGAACACATGTTTGATGATATGCCAATTTATTATGCTTTAAAAAATTTTCTTAATATGCTATTTCCTCATTGCAGACCTAGTCCTTTTGAGAGAATGAATTGAATTGGATCAAAGAGCATAAAACTTATGCATGACAGGTGTGAAACCTCCATAATTTATGTTATTTTTCTGTGTAACGACCAAGCACCTTTTTGAACACCTTTTCTACATGTGGTTGGACTTGATTAGGCATAAGTCATTTGTTGCCATGCTGAAATTTTTAGTTTCCTACAAGAAGTTATTATTTCCAAAGGACTTCATGTGTGGTTTATCTTTTACTTGCAGGGAGTACCCCTGAGACATGAGTTCACTGAAGCTGCAGAAGCGTCTGGCTTCTGCAGTCCTGAAATGTGGGAAGAAGAAAGTATGGCTAGATCCCAATGAAATCAATGAGATTGCCAATGCCAACTCTCGTCAGAATATCCGGAAGTTGATCAAGGATGGTTTGATCATCAAGAAGCCTGTAGCAGTTCATTCAAGAGCTCGTGTGAGGAAGAATACAGAGGCAAGACGTAAAGGAAGACACTGTGGCCATGGGAAGAGAAAAGGTACAGCCAATGCTCGAATGCCACAGAAGTTACTTTGGATTCGGCGTATGCGAGTTCTCCGAAGGCTGTTGAAGAGGTATAGGGAAGCAAAGAAGATCGACCGTCATCTCTATCATTCCCTCTACATGAAGGTCAAGGGTAATGTCTTCAAGAACAAGAGGGTATTGATGGAGTTCATCCACAAGAAGAAGGCAGAAAGGGCAAGATCTAAGATGTTGAGTGATCAGGCTGAGGCCCGCCGGCAGAAGGTGAAAGAGTCTAGGCGCCGCCGGGAAGAGCGACTCCAGCAGAAAAAGCAAGATTTGCTGCAGATTGTGGGTGAAGACAAGAAATAAGCCGTATAAAACCCTTGTACATCAAGCATCTCTAATAAACAGGTGCTTGTCAAGTTCTGTGCTGAGTTCCATTGGCATGCAAGGAACAGTAAACACTGTTCAATGTGTTTCAGGGTGACTCAAAAAAAAAAAAAGCCTTCATTCCAATGCTTCAGTTGACAAAAGGAAAAAGAGCAGCTGTAGTGAAACTAGTCATTGAACCAAAATGATTAGTGCCGCAGTTAGGCCTCATTCTATAAAGTTAACAAAATATTTCTGGGAGCAGTTTCAAAGGAAACTCAACTGATCTTTGAGCAATTGATGGAATAAATTCCTATGCTCTTAGGAACTAAAACAAAAGGAGCTACAATGAGTTGTGTTGAAGACTTGATCAAGTAAAAGGGACTAGTTGCAATTCTGAGAATTCCATCCAAGAACTAATTAGTAGAATTGCTCTTCACTAAAAGCAACTTGTTACTTTTCAAAAACCCTGGTGACTTGGAATGAATATTTCTCAAGTCAGGCTTATTCCAGTGAATGACATTTTTCACTGTTTCCCCCTTTGCTATTTATTGCATCTGGATGAGTTGGGGGTCCTGGCAATTTGTTTTTGCATTAGTTTCAGAAAGTAAAATTTCTGCAATTTTGGTAGGATGGTGTGGAACTGCTTTCATATTAGACATTAGTTTCTTGATAAAAGGGGGAAAGTGGTTTTCAAGCTTCATTTTTCTGTTTATTTATTATTATTTTTTTTTTCTTGGGCTATACTCTATTGAAAGTTGACCATAGGTCTGACAGGTCTGACATGACTGGCAGACAAGATTGTTTGGAAAATGTGCACTTCTACGTACATCTTTCTGACTTCATTCCGTAAACAGAACATTTTTAATTTTGAAAGTTCTTTTTTGAGTGTAGAAGGAAAGCAACCCTGACTATCATACTCATGCATGTTACTTGTGAAGCATCTAATTAGAATGACTTATGAGTGGACTACTAATTCTGACTGAATTTTATCTAACTGTGGTCATCTGGCTTCTGATGGCTCATAGCCAGCATTGGAAGAATTATGTCATCAAGAATCCAATGCATTTCCGTCATACCACTTACTTTTTCCACAGTAAAGGAACCAGTTGCTGCTGGTCCTATCATTAGAAACTGCAAAGGGACTCTGTATAATGCAATTTGGTATTATGGCATTTCTTTCCATTACTTACCTCAACATTGGCAGTGAAAATTTTTCCATATTCGGAGGATTAGGGAGTACTTTTTAGACACGTTCTTTTGGAGTCATTGGTCATGACAACTGCGATACTATTTATTTTGATCCCCTTAGAAGCTTAGGCATCTGAGTACACCTGGAATAGGTAAGGTACCTAATCAAGCAATTAAACGGAAGCTTCTAATGTAACCCAAAGAATGTATCATTGGCCCTACAGAAAATTAACAGTACTGATTGCTGTAGGGGATACAAAAGGTATTCATGGAGAATGCATCCCTACTTCCCCCCCACTCCCATCCCGTTCCACCACCCTCCTTCCTACAGCCTCCTTTTTCATTCTTCATCCGTAGTAAAATTTGATTAATTTTACAGGCCCCAACAAAAGAAAGTATTTTGAAATGTTTTGAAATACGAGGGGAGATGCAAAAGTAGAGACTCGTGTCTGTCATTCTTTTGTTGTCTTTCAATAAACGGAACCACAGATGGGGAAAATTTGTATCGAGGAAGGAAGACTACCTAGAGAAATAAAGGGTCTATGTTCGCTCAAAGGTATAAAGTCCTGCCCACATAATTACGAAGTCTCACTACATTTGCACCTCCCCTTGTAGATCGCGAACTTCGATATAGGGGTGGCGGTCGCCCCCCCCCCCCCCCCCCCCCCCCCCCCCCTCCTTTGTATCTATCTGCACTGTCGAATTTAAATGTTAATTTTTTTTTTAGTATGAGATAATGTATTTGCAATACGCGTCATCGCAGCCTAGACTGGCCTACACGAGACGTTTCTTTTGTGATCGTCTCGAAGACATCTGCAGTTAGCATTTGCATTAAGCGGACATTGGCATGCCACTGCAGGAGATTGGAGTCAGACACGTTTTTTCTTCGTGGTCGAGCAGTCCACTACATTCCAACAGAGGTCAGGGTATACCTAAATGCCACGGAGGCCATTAACAGAAGCATTGAGCCTAGAAAAGCTGTTATTCTCTTCTTTTTTTCATTACCTTTACGTTTCATTTCGTCGCCTTGACACCGTATGCCGACATTACGCCAAAGGAAATGCATATACCGGATGGCGCAAAACGCGTCGTGTTTGACGCCTTAAAAAATCCGTTGTGGATGATCTAGGTTCGTGATATTTTCATATTACGTTGGAAACACCACTAAATTTGTTTTCTGAACCTAAGTTGTCTGAATAACTATCGACAGTCGCTCAAAGTGGAGTCATAAAATGGACCTTTCCGCACACGAGATGATGGAGTTTCAGGACTGCTCGAATGATTTCTCTCCCTTTACGTAATACATACCGATTTTTATGCCAGTTCTCATCGTAGAATAGCACTACTGTCGTACATCGTAGTATCAGACTCGATACCACGCAGAATACTACGATGAGAACTGGCGTAAAAATCGGTATTCATTACGTCAAGGGAGAGAAATCACTCGAACTGTCCTGAAACCCCATCCACCTCGTGCGCGGAAAGGTCCATTTATGACTCCACTTTGAGCGACTGTCGATATTTATTCAGACAATTCTGGTTCAGGAAACTTTCAGAAAACAAATTTTAAGGTGTTTCCAACGTAATATGAAAATATCACGAACCTAGATCATCCACAATGGATTTTATAAGGCGTCAAACACGACGCGTTTTTTTTTTGCGCTACACGGTATATTTCTACTGGGTAATGCTTCCGCGACGTCTGAACTATAGACATAAATGATACTAGATGAGCATGGACCACTGAGAGAAAGTCCTAAATAAAGCAGGTCTTGAGTGGATTGAACAGTTGCATGGATATGAAAAGTCGGTCTGTGCACGTACTTGACCATGGAACCGCGCCGGGCCCAATTTCGCACCTGGCCTAGCGAAAGGCAAAAGACCAGGTAAATTCATGTGAACGCGAGGAGTTCAGGAGTTCTGCGTTCAGCTAGCCATTGCCGAGTGCAACCAGTCGCATGACCCGAGTTCCGGCTGTTGAATGCAACAGCGTACGTAGGATTTTTTCATCTTACCCGATCGCGAAGTCGTTCCTAACTCCAGACTGCACTTGTCTCCGTGGTCACGTGTGATCACGTCATCAGATCAGTTCTATTAAGGAAGGAACACGTCCTCGAACGCGAAGACCAGATCGACCAGAAATCCATAATTCCTATTGATCGAGCCTTACGTGAAACTAAGAGGTCCGGAGGAGACGTAAACTTCCTAGAAAGATATGTGTTCCATCGCATTAACCGTATTTCTTCCAGTTCAGAATTAAAAAAAAAATTTTGAATGATGTAAAAAGGAATTTTCCTTATTCAACCATCCACAATGAAACGTCAATGACCACAAAAATACAAGTTCCAAAAGAGGTCACAGGGACTCGGAAGCCAGCTAGGCCTCGAGGCCGTGTATAACCCTGCAAAATTGCGAGAAAAAGTGAGACTCCCGCGTCCCACCAAGACTGAAAGGGTTAAGGGAATATGAAGCCCTCTGCGGTGCGCTGTTTCCACGAAATGAACCCAGAATCTCCTTGGGACCTTGTGCTCATGGTCAAAACTGATCGCTAAACTAAAAAAAAAAATGATCGCACGCAGGGAACGCCTAACAGGAAGCCTGTTGCATGATTTAAGAACAGCTTCGGGCTTCCTTGTTTTCGGCACTTCGGTTGTCGATCGGAATCGGCGAGGGTGCACTCGAAGCTCTGTTTTTCTCGTTTAATAGACCTGCTTAAAGAATGAATATATTTGCAACTTTAATAAATATAAACAAAACTATAGACCAACATTTTGAAAGATGATGAAACCTCTCCCCACACTCAAAAAGGAATCGTTGTCCTTAACTTACCACTAGCCAGCTCTCGTGACGCAACCATGGACCAATCGATCACGGCGAACGACACACCCTCGTTATGCAAATCATATATACCATTACTTGTATATAACTACATTGACCGTGATGGCAGCGGCTGATCTGACAGCCTGCAACACAGTAGAAATACTTTTATTTGTTGCCAGGAGACAGCGAGCAGAGAAGTCGAATTGTATTCGCGCAAACTGGCGTCTGACGGGAACTTCCTGGTTCTTTTTTTTGTGGAACGAGAACTCAATACCGAAGAATCTCCTGGGGCCATTTTCAATATTGATCTAAGCTTTCTTTTCATCGCGTGCCCTGAAAAGCAGATTCCAAATTGAAATTCGAGGCGATATCCCATGCATGAACTTTTTGGAAACCGTGCTTGGAATGCAAGTCGACCGATCCAAGTTCTTTTTTTTTTCTTCTCAGATTTGGCAGAATCTGCTCGTGATCAACCGATCGACGAAGCGGCTTGATCTCGTGCAGCGTTTGCATGTCATTTCCTTTTATTTTTCTTTCTTTCTTTCTTTCTTTCTTTCTGGTTCTTGGGCAGTTGCGTCTTATCTCCCTCGTTGCGCCACACCGCCCAGATCCCTAATCCTGGCGGGGCCGGCAATGCCTCATCTCGAGACAGATAACGAGATCGATCGACTCGACAAGGACAGGCAAGGACAGGACTTCGCCAGCACAAAGATGCGCCAGGAAAAAAAAAAAAGATAAAAGGCTGCTCTCCTCCAAACCTGGACGAGCTTCTTTCACATTTGGCCATTGCCAAATAAGCATGACGGGGGAAATCTCAGCTCTCATGTGAGACTTGAAATAAGTCTGGGAACCGTACATGTTATGAAGCATATAATGTCCCATTCGCCCTAGCCTTTCTTTAAATGTATAAGTAATATGCCCCTCTCTTGGGAAAAATGAGTGAAACTAATCTTCATTCCCCCCTTCCGGGCATCATGAAACCGGGTATT